TGGAGACCCTAAGAGTTATGCATATGCAGGTTGTAGGCTAGGCTATTTGTGAGTTTGAACACTGAGTCTTTGAGAGAGCTAAAGAGAGATGGGACAGTGCAAGCCTGGGGGCAAAAGACTTTAAGAGCAATTAAGCTAAAGAGAAGCTGAGCGCAAATGTGGGACAGTGCCAGCCTAAGGAAAGAGGTTTTAAGCAAGGTTTGAAAGAACTGCAAGGAACAAGGCCTTAAAGAATCAAGATAGAGAAAAAGAAGCAATGAAGGTTGTGTGTCTCCCACTGAGCATACAACACACCTGACCCCAAATTTGTCTATCCTGTGTCTTTTCTAAAATCTCCAGTTGCCTTCAGGTAAGCCCAGTTAGGTCCAGTACTAACCAAGGAGCAAGAGAGAAAACCTCACTCCAGCAAGGAAGGGAGCACGAGAAACAGTGCCCCCTTCAATCAATGACAATAATAGCAACACTAATACCAGCTCTCATTTACATATAACTATGTTGTAAGAAAGTTTCTCACCATTGTTGGATCATCTCTGTATGTGGGGACTGTGATTATTCTTTCTACAAAGATGAGGTAATTCACACTTGGAGGATTCATATTGTAACTCATGGTTACACAGCTTATGTATGACTGCATGGAGAGTTGAACTCTAGGCAGTGTGAGTTTGAAACTATGTGATCTTGATCACAATCTTACAATCTGTAGCAAGAAGCATGTAGATCCCATCTTCATTAGGACCCTAAGAAGCGGAGGAGAACCCTCCTCTGGGCATTTTTCAAGAGGGAGCAGGGAAGAAGATAATACTGCTTAGTGAGAAGCATCCTCTCCTAAGAACAATAAGTCTATGACTTTGCTCTCCAGCTTAAGTGAACCAACTCTCTTCCATAGACCTTGGATCCTCTGAGACAGTTGACTTCACTGTAGTCTTTGTGTCAGGAATCTCTCTTTGACTTGGGCAGCATAATTTTGTTAGCATATGTGTAGAGATGGGCTCTGTGTGTGCGCGCCTCTCCATGGTTCCCAGCCTCCCTTGCAGCTAGCTTGGCTGCACGACCAGGTCTGCTGATAGAATGGAGTAGAAATGACACACCTCACTTTCCAGTTGAGATAGTTAAGATCTGGGTATTTCCTCTACACTCTTCTTTGCCAGTTTACACTGGCAGGAGAGCCATCAGGTGAGTGGGCTGACCTGCATCAGCACGATTGTGTGAGGTCATTGGGGTTGTCTGATAGTTTAGCATAGCCTATTCTGACCAATGTTGATTCTTAATTTAAAAGTATGATTATACAGGTTGAATTGTAGATAAACTTAGGTATAGTCATTTTTCCTATGTATCTGTATGTGTTTGTGTATGTGTAGACCAAGAGGAGTGGTCCATGAGGGGTAAGAGGGAGGAAGAAAAGCATAGTCTTGGTAGTGGTGGGTGGCCAATGGGGTGCCCCTTCTGAACCCAGGAGGATGGACGCATCACCCATGAGGAGAGACTGTGAAGGGTCATGACCATGGTCCCCTAGAGAATTCAATGACTACAGAATTCTCTAGTGCTAGGAAGATATGTCTAAGCTGATGGGAGCAGGGAAGAATATGGTTTTGTAATTTTTCAGAACACATGATAGCCAGAGTTTATCACTTGGCATTTTTCCACACTGGCTAGGTACCTGGTCAGTTGTCCAGGAGATCATCCATTCTCTGTACAGTTGGGTCTTGGTTAACCAAGGTTGCTAGACAAATGGCAACTACCAGACTCAAAGGATTTTCATGTTGCAGAAGGAAGCATTACCAAGCCAGGCAATCTGAGAGAATTCTGGGTGCCTCTAGGGGACTCATCCAACAAAGAGATTCCTCCCTGAGTCCAAACACCTTGAAGGGACATCTCCTTCCTGAGTTGCTGCCTTCTAAGCTCTTGTCCTGTACCTCTCACAGAAAAACGAGAATAATCGCATCTTCCCAGTTCTCCTTTCAAGACTGAGATGAAGCTAAGAAAATTTTTCTCAAGTTATCATGAGTTAGGGGACTTTGCATCACACTGTGAAAAATACAATGAAAGCACTCTGCTGGTCACATTAGAAGAAAGTGGGATAGCATGTTTTGATCCTAGCAGCTTGTTGAAAAATGGCCTTTTAAAGAAGAAAGCAAGTCTAGTTAGTGGAAAGGAGAGTGGAATAAAGAGATATTTGGGTGTGAAGAAAATAAAAGGCTTTAGAACAACTGAGGGAAAGATGTGTCGGAGTGAACAGTGAATAAAATATTAGGGAAATAAAAGGAGTGGAGGTGACCATTAGTAACAGTTAAAGCAGAAAAAGATAAGTCATCTAGAATTGAGGGAGAAGATGAAAAGGGATAAAAGGAAATATTACAGTCAGAACAAAGAAAGCAGGAAGCCATGGACAGAATAAACATTCACCCTAACGTGCTAAGAGCTGAACACAGAATTGGTTGAATACAAGTCTGGGGTATGAGCAGATATACCATGTCTGCCAAGCAATGAGGTGATGCTTTCAGATAAATTTATGGAAAGGTAAAGCGTGTGGACATCAACTGATTAGGCTGTGGTTTCCACCTTTTCCAATGCAAAAATTCAGAATTATTAGTAATCAAAGCTCTTAAGTAATGCAAAGGAAAAATATAAATATAAAGGAAAAAATAAAGTACAAATTGTCATAAATAAAGCACAAGATAATATTACTAACCTAGTTTTTTTCATCCCCACTCTTCCTACATTATCAGCTTGTATTTGTCCCTAAAATGTCGCAAACCGTTTTTCTGGACTATTAGTATACAAACTCAAATATCCAAGCATTTTTAAGCTTTCTGGTTCTGTTGGATCCTTTTCCTTTTACATACAGATGTTAGCCTTTTGTCAGTAGGATCTTCATTCTGAGAGCACACACCACTCATGGATTTCTTGGTTAATTACACTCTTTCAGAGATAAAAGGGTTTTATGTTGAATCATAAGAAACTCATGCAAGAAAGTGAGAATGACGAGAAAGAGGACAGAGCTGGGGTGGGGTCATTGGTTTAAAATATCAGCTGGCTAGGTAGAAAATTCCATTCAATATTTTGGGCTTTTTATTTCCTCTTACAAGTAGAATAGAGTTCTGGGAATCAGACTTCTCTAAGCAATGCTCAGTAGTCATTCTCTGGCCTGTGAAAACTTCCTTGCTCATTTAGGTACAGTTAACTTTATCGTGGTCTACACTCGGAACAACTTCTGTTCACTGCTTTGAGAAGAACCTAAAAGAACCTCAGCAGATCTGCTCTTTGTAATTTTTTTTTTTACCTTAGTAATGTGTATGGACATGCGATTTCACTGAGAAGGGCTAATCAGATTTTGCTGACCCAACAATTCACACACAAGCATAAAATTCCAGATGTACTTAATTTCCATCCCATTGACTTTCCCTGAATGTGCTATCATTGATAACCAACCTCCTCTCATTTAGCATTTACAAGTTTACACAAAAGCAACAACCATACCCTCTTACTTAGGGGATTAAAGCGCACACACACACACACACACACACACAGCCATGCACACAACTTTGATACTGGAATGTACAGTATGGCCTAGTTTAAATTAAAAAGATCCCCCAATGCACGATTGTTTCCAGCTTCTCAGCGGTGAATTAAAAGCTGTGTGGTGTCGTGAAGATTACAGAAGCAATCACATTTATGGGCCTGCTTCACACATCAACTCTATTAATTTCCATACTCGGGGTGGCTTCACATTTCCAAGCGTGTTCACATTAGATGCCGTTAGGAATAATCACTTGAAAAAAAATGAGAAAGTGAGAGACAGATGAGAGATACAGAGAAAGAAGGGAGGGACAGAACAAGTTTTCTCACAAATCAAGTTTTACTTGAAATATATTGATTCTGATAAATAAGAAAAAGATAAATGAAGCTTCCTGATGGTCTGGCCCCAGAATCACACTCAGGAATCAGATTACTAGGAAATCCCATATTGAAATTCACCCACAGAGCCAGTCCTGCACCTCGTCATTGCAGACTAATTATTGAGATGGGATGGTTTCCTTGCCGTGATTGCATGGTCTCCACCTGAACAGACCTCTGGTGCTCAAAGTTGCATCTTCATCATTGTGTTCCCTTCAACTCTTGAAATGTGTACCAGTCTCACAGAATATTCCATCACACCACAGGAATGAAGGAATGTGACTACATGGCAGGCAAACTCATTGACCATACAAATGTATGTGTCACCTTCTTTAAAGGGGCCTTGGAGCATCTGAACAAAGTAGATCAGTGTTTTCATACTCTTCATTCCCAAATGTTAAAGAATGGTACTCAAGAGCCTACAATTAAATGATTATGTCTGTAATTAAATTCTTTTGTGTAAAACTGTTTTGTGCATTTAACAATGTACCCTCTGCCCTCTTAAGGAAAAAGTAATGTAATAGTAGCATTAAGAAGAGGAGGAAATCATAGCCAGAGATCTGAGGGAGTCACATTTTAAGAAAATCAATTAGAATATGGAGGACAGAATAAGCACAGGTTTTGAATCTTTCTGAAGACTATCTTATTAGCTTTAAGAAGAGGAGTTTTTGATTCCTGTCTAAAAATTCCCAGCAGTCAGTATCATGCCCTTAGCATTATTTTGATCTAATGTCCTGTATGAGAAACTACGTATAGGACAGCAATCTACAAGAAGAGAATGATTTTGCTTTTGGGGTGTGCCCAGGAGAAATGGGTTTCATTTCCTTTACATAGCCTAGAACTCACACTGGGGGCTGGCAGTCCCTCTTACTGGGAGTAGAGCAGAAATGCCCACTGATGACAAAAGACTGGAAGAGACACACACCACTCTATTTATCAACCTCCATGCTGCTAAGTCTCTAGTTCAAAAGCTTCCACCTGGGTCAGTGAGATAAGAAACATCAAAAAACATTAGCTGAGGAAACACCTCATTCTGAGACAGTCCCAGACACGAGTGAATTTAAACATGAGACGAGGCCAAAAGCATCTTCAAGTGCAATGCTTACAGTTTAGAACCAACTGGTCCTCGATGAATTCAGCTGGTTGATTGATATGGAACACTTTCTGCTGGAATCCAGGAGTGCAGTCCAAATCTTCTGCAGATGTTAGCAGCAGCACCTGAGGAAACCAAAGTCATCAATATTTTAATAGCGGCTTGCATGTTTGCCCTGCTAACTTTTTTTTTTTTTTTTTTTTTACCAAACCCACGACTTTTAGAAATGAGCTGAGGTTTTAATTTCATTTCCCAAATGAAGAGGCAAGTTGATACTTCTCGTGTGGCTGCCAACAACTCGTTTTGGCCATGAGATTTGGAAAAAGCACAAAGAGGAACAGCTGCTGCCGCTCCCATTAAGTTGCAGTTAAAGAAATAACGTCTTCAGATTTTTACACCTGCTAAGAATCTCACCGTGGTTTCCATGTGTGAAATTTCATTACCGAAACTGTCAATTTCCAGTGATGCCTGAGTTAAAACCAACTTCACTTTCATACATGCAAAGGAACGTTGTCGATGAGGAGGAAGAAAGAGACAATGGAAATTTTCCATCGGAAGGTACATCTAAAAGGAATCCAAGGCCCATGGTCGAATATGGTGGCCATTGAGCCACACACAGGTGGTACTGAGCACCTGACACTTAGTGGTCCAAAATTGAGACATCATAATTATAAAACACAAATTGGATTTTGGTGGCAAATTTAAAAAGAGAATGAAAATATCTAAGCAAAAATGTTATTGATTACACATTGAAAAAATAATATTTTACATGTGGGGCTAAACACATATGCTGTTGAAATTAATTTTGCCAGTTTCTTTTTACTTTTGTAAGTTTGGCTTCTGGGAAGTTTAAAATTTAGTGGCTTCCAAACGCTGTTTTGTCTTTGCAAATCCTTGGGTTACATCATCCATCATATCAAAAAATTAGGTTGTATGCTTTGGAATATCAAAGTACATAACACCCTGCCAGGCAAGAAATGAATTGAAAGTCCAGTAAGTGAAGACTATAAGCCACATGAAGATAGCATGGCCTCTTTTCCTCCCCTGTTTACCCTGAGTACCTTCCACACACTGGCGCTGAGATGTTCCATAATACTTAAAAAGTAAAAGCAACACTTTGGGGCCCTCATCATATGGCAAGCACTGTGGTAAGCTTACTGTATATATAACCTCATTTAGGCTCCTCTGCAGCCCTATGAAGTATGGACTATAAAGCTTAGTTTGAAGAAACTTCCAGAGGTTAACAAATTTGTCCAAAATCTATATCTGGGATGGGCAAAGTCAGGACTTGAATTCAGATTTAAGGGTCCTTCAATTTGGCCCAGAGCTGCCCATTCCTCTCAGATGTTCCATCTGGGAGTAAGACTTTAGGGGGTATTTTTGCATAAGATAGTCCTCTAAGGACCGTGGGAGACCGCTTTAATCTGAGCACCCTCCTACCACTCGCTGATGGGAATTGGTGTATAAACACCCCCACTCCTGCTCCCTGCAGGTGAGATGACTTGAAGGCATGTGGTCTGTCTTCCTGCTTCCACATAAAATTGAGCTGTGGTTGAGCACCATGGCATCTGGCTTGTAATTCACCTTTCATTTCCTGCTTTCTGTTCCTTTGCTCATGTCCTTATCCTCACAGTCCTCCTTTCTAAGACTGGCCTCCCAAACAAACAACTGCTTGCACTCAAATCCTTGACTCAGTATCTATTTCTTGGGAAAACAAACTTTGAAACCAGACTTTCAGACTCTTAACCACTGCACACAGGCCATTGTAGGAAGTTTTTTATCAGCTCCATCAGCAAACTCAAAGAAGGTAGAAAGGTTGGAAGCCATGGAACCAGGGCTTCTGTTGAATATCAGCCTTCTGAAATGCAGTGAACCCCGAGGAATGGGAGCAAGAATCAATCTCAGGAGGTTGACAGTGTGGTCAGCCTGATCAATATCAAAGAAGTTGAAATGGAAAAGTCGTCACCCCACCCAACATCACCTTTCTGAAATCCAAGGGGAAGATGCTACAGTCTAGCATCCATGCAGCTCTGCTTGTAAAATGTTCCCTTGTCCTGAAACCAGGCTCTGATGAGATGGCTTCTGAAGCAATCATAATGCCGACACTCTAAGTGCCACAGACAATGAATGCACATTCAGAACTCAGAATAATTTGCTAGCAATTTTGCAAGCAGAAAATTTATGAGTGATCAGCACTAATTCAGTTAAACAGCAAATGGGCAAAGGTTGCCTCCAGGCACCTTTCCTTACAATTATACTTTAACCTTCCAATTGGCTAATTCTGCTCTCGAATCCCAGATCAGTAAACCCGTCACTCCATACATGCTAATGCATTTTCCCCAGGGATGCTGAACCTAAACATCCAGGAGTGAGAGCGCACAACCGTCAGAAACGGGACTCTATGGATGAGTTGAGCTCTCTATCTTGGTCTGGCCTTCTTGTGCTTACTCACTGCCCTTTCTTGTCTGGTTCTAGTCAGGATTCCTCTAGAGTTACAAAAGGAAAAGCAACCTTCTCTAGTTGCTGACCATCAGGGAGGAGGACTTTATGGTTGACCTCCCAAAGGTATAGGTTTTGTTTTTGCAAATTCTTGGGCCAATCCATATTCAAGTCAAAATTCAGATTAAATAGTTTGTAACATAAAAGTACATAGGACCCTGCTGGGCATGGGGTGACCTACTGACATAAAAGGTTGTCAAAGTGCTCACTCCTTCACTCACTTGTTCACAATATTGTTAAAAGTTCTGGGATTCAGTGAGGGCTTCGCTAGATACCCCCCAGGAACTTGCCAAGAAGTGCTACAAGGTAGGAGTTAAAAGCCATTTTCCTCATTTAAATCTTAACACTCTGCTGACTGTGTGATTTGGCGTGTTTCACAGCTCGGTTTTCTCATCTAGAAAAAAACTGAAAATAACACTGCAGAGCGTGATTGTGTGGATTCGATTAGGAAGACTCGCAGAAAGCAATCAGAAAAGTGCTTCACAGGAGAAGTCATCAATAAATAGTGACGATTACAGTATTATAGCTAGAAAGGGAATGAGGCATTAACAGACCCTAATTCAGTGAAATGACTAACTACAATTAAAATCTAAGTTGAAAGGAAAATACAGGTCCTGTGGGAGAGCATCAAAGCTGGGGCACAGGAGAGTCTAACCCCATCTAAGGGGATCCAGGAAATCAAGCCCACACAAAGGACATTTCTGCTTTGAACTCAAAGCTGAGTAAGAATTGGCTGGGTAAATGGAGACCTGTCTTTCAAGGCAACACCCTCTGCTTTCACATGAGTTCTGCACCTCTCCGGTTATCACATAACACATCTCTAGAATCACAAAACTGCATGCATGAAGGAATGCAGACTGATTTGTTGCTTTACAAAGCTGAATATTTCCCTGGGCAGTGGTGGTGGAGTCTTCCCATTGCACTATTGCCTCTTGATTTCTTAGCAGAATTCAAAACAGGACCTGTGCGTGAGCTCATGATGGATACCCACTCTTCATTCTTACTAAGTTTGGGGGCTGGGATCTAAAGCATCATTCCTCATCTTTCTAAGAATTAATACCTGGATGTTATTCCAAATCTGAGCAAGCCCATCTCTGATATTATCAGGTGGCACTCATATAAAGATACTACCTCGACAAACTGTTCCCCAAATCCTCTTTAACTTTTCCAAATACATTTTATGAGCTTTCTAAATGTATCCTTAATGCCATGACAATAATGGTCCTCCTTCTCCTGTCTGTTTATGCATTAAACCCACTGCTCATAAACAACAGGTAACCAATACATCTTTGAAGCCACGGTGGTTGTCAAATTTTATGATCACCAAAGGATTTCTATTATTTAAAAATTATAATCAGCCCACTTCAAGAGCCAGATCCATGTCTCAGAGTACGACAGTAAGCACAGGTCTGAGCCACACTGGTTCACTACGAATCCTGATTCAATCTTCCGAGTAACCCGTGTCTCAGTTTCCTCAGATGTGATGTAGGAGAAAAATGGCAGCTTGCAGGTTATTATGTGGATCAAGCAAGTTAATTATTGTCAAGAGTCTTAACTCATACCTGGGGCATAGTAATTGCTCAATAAACGTTTGCTGTTATGTCTAATATACTTAAACTAATATACATGGTTCACTGATATTCTCCAAGGTACAGGTGGACATATATCATTAAAATATAACTTGTTGATACTATAGAATTGTTTGGATGACACTCAGAAGTATGTAAGGGAAGCTCCAGGGATCTGAAATCAAGGGTAGACGAACAGAGGTTGCATGTTGGGGTCTTACACTGAGAGCATCAATGTCTGTGGTGACTGAGCTGGGCTACTTTTGTAAAAAGACCTTAGCTTTCTTCAAGGTGGCACCTCAGAGCTCTGTCCTCCACACATACATGGAGAGCAAATCCTTACCTTACCCTCCCTTATCCATGCTTCTCTTTTTAGCATCCACATTTTTCTTTTTTTGCTGCAACACAGAACTTTCTTAAAAGGGGGTGGGTGTGTTTGTCCTGACAGGTACTGATTCAGGAATGTAGCCAAGTTCAGAGTTCGCTTCCAGAGAAGATTTTTCCTCTCCCAGGCTATAGCTTGCCAGTTGGTAGCACGTAGGGTGAACATGGCTGGCAGAAGTGGCTAGTGGAGCCAGAGCAGTGTGTCATCAAGCTGAACTATCATGTTACACAGAGCGCACCTTTCAGAGCTGTCCCTGTGTCTTCACTCTCACACATTGGACTCCATTGCATTCTTCCCTGGCCCTCCAGGCACCTGAGTGGGCCACCTGGGCTTTAGGCTTTGGAGATACTCTTGGAGTAAGAGCCCAGTTTGCTGTGAGTGTCTGGCCACTTGTCATGGTGGCACCCATACCTTGTGCTGCTGGCTCAATTGCAATAAGGGATGAAGGATTGTTACCACTTCTAGGCCTGGACTCTGAACTGTCCTGCACTGTCACACAGTCAGCCTAGGTGATTACAGGCACGGAAGTTGGGCAGAGAACTTCTATGCCACTGCATCCCAGTGGCCAGTGAGAAATAGCAGGACTGAAAGAAAGGCTTAACACAACTGTGTTCAAAGCAGCCACAAAGAAAAAGAAACTTCTGCCACAAATAATTATCTCCACAGGCTGTGA